ATTGACCCTCACAATAACAAACTAAGGTATATATTATTATTCATTTTTATAAAATGTAGAAACCAAAGGACATAGATGTCAAGGAACTTGTCTAAGATGATGAAACCAGAATTAGAAAAAAATTTTGAGTGATTTCAAATCCCAGCCATGTTTATTATTATTATTTAAAAGAACTATTTATTGAATCCTACTAAATTGTATTTTCTTCCATAGAATACCGCCATATAAAGTTGAACTATGGCAACTTCTGTCCTTTTCTTCTAGGACTTTTCCACTCTTTTATTTGAAAGAAGCAACCCCTCCTTAATTTTCTTATTGAACATATTTTACCTATAACAGATTAAAATACAGCCATCCTAGCAACAGATTTATTTATGTGACATATATTAATACAGTTACTGAGAAACTAAACTGATAAATCAGATATTAGTCTTGATAAATGCTTTGCTTTAGCTCATGCTGGCATGTCTGGTATTTTACCCAGAATCTTCAAATATAAGATATACAATCAGACAGAATATTGCTATGCTAATATTATCTCTGTTATAGTCATTACATAGTTACAAAATACATAAATGAATAATAGAGAAATATAAAAGCGTTTATTTAGAATGCTATAGGATAGTATTATATAAATGCCTTCCAGTTTCCTTGTGCTCCTATACATCCTATCTTATAAACTCTTTCTTAGTTCTCGTGTCACACTTCCATTATATACGACTGTTCCCTTCCACTCTCGCAGACACACACACACACACACACACACACACACACTTTCTTCTACTGTTATGTCATTTATTTTCTTGCCAAACTTTAGTCTTCTACTCATGCTATTTCTCTTCCACCTCCAAGCCACCTTTCAACCCACTACAATAGCGATTTTCTCTGATCCAACCACCACCACTTGACTGAAGCTGTTCTTATAAAGTCACCAATGTTTTTCCTATTTCCAGACACAATGGGCATTTTTAGATGTTCATCTCTTTTTAAACATTTCCAATTAATGTGCATTTGTAAACTCATTCTATTCTCACAACAAAGCTTTGAGACAGGTATTATTAACTCAATTTTACTGGTGGGACAAATGAGGCAGAGAGTAACCCAGGTAACTTGCCCAATGCTGCTAAGGCAGAGCCAGGATTTGAACCCAGGCAGATTGATGCCAGAGTTTAGCATTTTTATAACTGTGTATTTCTGTACAGTCTGTGGCTGCTCTTGTCAAATTTCTACGTTCTTTCTTATTCCCTAGCAGGACTGAAATATCTCACATTCTTAGTCTAAAAGCACCTTTCTCAAGCTCACTTGGCCTGTCTTTGACTTTCACGCTCATTTTAGTCAGCAGGTGGCCACTTCTTTGTTACTGAAAGACTTTTCCTCTTTTGAGTCCCATGATATGATTGTGATTTGCTTTTCCTTTTATGCTACTGTACCTACCTTCTCAGATTAGTTTTGTGGGTTCTTTTCCTCTCTCCAACATATAAAATTGGCTGTTTCCACATTATATCTCATCTTTTCTCTACCTTAGTTAGTTGCATTCTTTCCTAGAGATTTAAGCACTAACTTTATGTTAAACACTTCTAGGTTTGTATCTACAGACCTCTCATATCTAGACATATCTCATAGATAACTCAAATTTAACAGTTGGAAATGTTAATAATAATAGAAAATTTTTAAATTGTGCAAGCTATGTGCCAGTGACTGTTTTAAGTGCTCTACATATATTGTCTCATAAAATCTTCACGGTAGCCTTCCATGTAGGTGTTATTATTAAGCTCATGTTATACATAAGTGTGAAAGAGTTTGAGTAAATTGCCCAAGATCACCAATCTGGTAAGGGGTAGAGACTGTTCAATCCCGTTTGACTAAAGAGATCTTGCTCTTTAACTGAATGATAGATATATTTGCCTAAAATAATATTTTCCTTATTCTTTGCATGGAAAGATAGCAAACCCTTATATTGTAGGAATCAGCCTAAATTTTACCTCTTCAGAGAAGCTGTTCTTGATTTTCTTGTCTAAAGTAGCTCCTGCCTGCTTACTGTCAGTATTGGCTTCCTTTTATTTCCTGGAAATTACTTATTAAAAATTGTTTATTTAATTTACTCATCATCATTGTCATAGTCCATAAATTATTTTGCTCCATACCCACTCAAATCCCTTTATGGTATGCCTTTATGGATTGCAGAGGTAGAAAGGTGAAACCTACTTTTCTCAGATTATCTTACATCTGGGTTTTCCCATGTAATTTTGATAGTGACTGGAGACAGGAAAATTCTGGGCGGAATTCATGGTAACAAGCTGCAAAGCCTGATACCATGGCCCAAAATGAGAATGCACATCCCTGTTTTCCCACTCAGATATTTCCTTTTCCAAACCCACCCATCTCACCCCCAAATCTTGTGCCCATAAAAACCCCAGGCTAAGCTGGCAGAGGGAGGAGTAGCAGCTGGACATCAGACTATGGTTGGATGGTAGAGAGAAGCAGCTTGACTTCAGAGAAACAGCCTGAAGGTGTAGCTTTGAAGAAGAGTCTGATCGGGAATAGCAGGACTTCAGGGGAGGCTTGCCTTCTTGCCCATCACCTTTTCAACTCCCCATCCTGCTGAGAGCCACTTTCTTTGGCAATAAAATGTCCCACATTTACCATCTTCGATTTATTCATGTGACCTCATTTTTCTTGGACACCAGTCAAGAGCTCAAGCTGTGAGTGTGGATAGAAGAGGTCTCACTGGGCTGTTAACACTTAAGCCATCCGCACATGGCAGAGCTAAAAGAGCCCTTAATGTAACTCCCTCTGGGGCTTCAGGGGCTCTGGGCACCTCCCTGGATGGGGTCACAAGACCCCATATGGAGTTCACTGCTGCCAGTGCCCAAAAGCCCTTGCCCTGGCTCCTGCACCGACTCTCCTGCACATACTCTCCTGCAAGGGGTTGAGTGCTATGGGCTAAGTGGGGCACCCCTGTTGTGAGGTCTGTGAAATATCCTGTTTCAACTTAGCTTTCACAAATCAGAAGCTCTCACAGGGTAAATTAATGTGAAACTAAGTTATGGGGGCAAGACACAGGACATTAAGGAACAACTGGGCTCAAATAGATTATGGTAGAAAAGGCACAGCTCTAGAGTTGTCAGATGTGGCAGAAGATTCTTGATATTGTGGCTCCTGACTTGCAGAAACATGTTTCTGGAGCTGTCCACAGTGGTAAGAGCTTCCTGATTATGCAGTTTTCTGACTGCAGTAGAGGCTGCAGCTTTTTTGCCACCTCAGTTCTTCAGCATGGCTTTAACAGTTATTATGAAAGCTAAACCTAAAGTCTGTTTCTTCAGTCCTCCCAGTGATGTGATGTTGTGAACTAATTATATGCGTATTAAATCCCTCCAAGCTTAAACTAGCTCCAACAGACTCTGTTGTCTGCAATTAATGATCCTGACCAGTACATCTAATAATTCATGGGTTTATTTTATGTACCAGAATATAAGCATTCCAGGAGAAGTTAACCATTACTGTCAATTGCTGAATTCCCAATGCCAGGCACAGCATAGCTCAGAGTACAAAATTTTAGAAATGTTTAATCTCTTGTACAATGATGAAAACTGCTCTGGAATACCCTGTAAAGAACTTCTAAGTAGTCCTTTTTGCTCTTTTTCTGTGTGTCTTATATTCCATTTCAGCTTGGTTCTAGAATATATCCAGAAGTTTACAATTACTGAATAGGTACCAGATTCTCACTGTTGCTAAAATATGCCATGACTTTTTCACTTTTCTGCTCATATTTTTAATGTCATGCTCTTCACTTTTCTCTTGGGTGAATTCCTATTCATTTTCAAGGACAAACAATTATTTTCTTACAGCAGTCTTTCCTATACTTCCCTCAAATGATTGATTAATCACACCTTAATTAGATACATTAATATAGCACATATAATACATTATTATAACAGCAAGTTATGCTTGATTAATCATACTTTAATGCAGATACATTATTATAGCACTTCTAGAATAACACATAGTATTTTGAGTCATTGTGTTATAATGACTAGGTTAAAAAAATCTGTGAGTGAAGGAATATATTAAATTTACATAATGCTTGCTTGTGTAAATGTGTTATAAACTAAAAAATGTAAGTCATTACATTTATTATTACATATGGAAGCAAAGAAAAATTATCACTCAATTTCACCTATTTCTCTATTGTCACTCAATTCACCTATTTCTCTTTCTAGGTAGTTAGATTTCTAATTCACTCAATTTATCTTCTTTTTGTGAATTTACTTGTGTTACACATGATTTGACTTTTTCAAGCCTTGAAAAGAAAAGGCAGGAAGCCCACAGAAGCCACATGTTAATTTGTATGTTTGATCTGAAAAGCAGAAAGCTCTTTCAGAGTAGTTTCTCCAAAAATGGAGGAATAATTCAGTTTAGAACTAGTTCATTCCTGCCTATACAATACTGTTCTCAAACAAATAAATGTAAATGAATTCATTTATTCCTTTTTATTCCTTTTAATTTCCTTTTTAATGAATTGTTTCCACTTTGAAAATCATGTGTATTACATGGGTCCCAAAATAACTATTGGGGGTATTTTGGGATTTCTTAAAATATTATTTCATATATTAGGTGACTCAAATTCAAAGAGTGCAAATATCTAATATTTCTCATGTTTTCAGTTTTCATTAGAGACTATGGTAAGCACATGTAAGAGATCATGTACTAGTTTGTGTTTTGAATATTTTATTTCAAATATTAAACATTTGTAATATTAAATACAATGGTTCTCCAGATTTTTTTTCATAAACTAAAATTCACATCAAAAACAAAATAAAAAATTAAAGAAGTAATATTTACAATATTAAACATAAGCCAGATGTGGAAGCATGCTTTTCCAGATTAAACATTTACTGAGTTGGCAGGAAAAAAACTTCTTCGTTATTCATCCGAGTGAGTTTTGTTTGAATGAATTCTAATCTCTTATTCCTTTACCCTTTTCACCATGTTTCTGTTGCTTTGCTTACCTAATAATGGTTTTTTTTCTTACCACTGCCTTCCACAATTCTGCACAGATGCTTCCCAGATGAGCTAAAGAGCTCATTTTCATCTTCATTTGAATGGGCTGATCCTATATAGCTTTGACAGAAGCAGGGATTGAAGTCTCTTTGGGACAGTTATCATTGCTACACATTTTTATTGAGGGAGTAGTCAAGGGAATTTGAACACAGAAAAACACCGAACATTATCTAGCTCTGCATCCTTCAAATTATATATATATTCTTTGCAAACTAATGAAACCACACATTTGTGAAAAAATTTAAAGACATATATTCAGAAAACAAATAACCCGACTTTCCAGGAATATTGACAACATTTCTAATCTTGTGTTTATTTACTGAAGATTAATTAACCAAACTCTACAGAGTATTAAACCCAAATGCATTTAAAGTGGTTCAAATTAATATAATCCTTTTATTCTAGTTTTATTGAGGCATAAATGACAAAAATGCCTATATTTAAGATATACAGAATGATGTTTTGATATATGTATACATTGTGAAATGATTACCACATTAGGCTAATTAACACAGCCATCATTTCACATAGTTACTATTGCGTTTGTGTGTGTGTGTGTGCGTGTGGTAAGAACATTTAAGATCTACTGTCTTAGCAAATTTCAAGTATATAATGGAGTATTAATATTCACTTTGTTGTTCATTTAATCTTTAGAATTTATTCATCCTGCATAACTAAAAATTTGTATAATGACCAGTATTTCCCCATTTCCATTGCCCCTGAACTCCCTGAATGTAAACTACCCTTCTATTTATGGTTCTATGAGTGAGACTTTTTTTGATTCCACATATAAAGTGAGACCATACAGTGTTTTGCTTCCTGTGTCTAGTTTATTTCACTTAGCATTATGTCCTCCACATTATCCATGCAAAAATAGTATTTACTAAATTTCAAGGCTGAATAATATTCCCTTACATCACATACTTTCTTCCTTTCCTCCAAGAGATACAACCTCAGTTCTGTGCCTCTTCCTTATCTTGAATAGCAATGCTGGCTGTGAGGGAATTCTCTTTTATTTCTAGTTGTTTAGAGGACTGGGATCTACAGTTTGTTCAGTGCTCAGTATGATGTCAAGAAGAATCTAGCTCCAAGAAGGGTACCCTGAAAAGGCAGGAGGCTAGGAGGCCAGACACATATTGCAATCTCACTTTCCCCATTATAGGAGAAATAATGTACTGAGGCAAGCTTCTCAGTGATAAACTAAGGTAGTTTTGGGGAAGAACAGACATGGATAAAGCAAAACATCCTTTTGTTAATCCATATAAATGTAACTGCTTTCAGTGTGTCATCCTCTGGGTGATTCTATGTTTTTGTTTTTGTTTTTCTTTTCTTCTTTTTTTTTTTTTTTGATGGAGTCTTGCTCTGTTGCCCAAACTGGAGTTCAGTGGCACAATCTTGGCCTACTGCAACGTCTACCTCTTGGGTTCAAGCGATTCTCCTGCCTCAGCCTCCCAAGTAGCTGGGACTACAAGCACCCGCCACCATGCCCGGGTAATTTTTGTATTTTCAGTAGATACAGTGTTTCACTATATTGGTCAGGCTGGTCTCGAACTCCTGACCTTGCGATCTGCCTGCCTCAGCCTACCAAAGCACTGGTATTGGAGACATGAATCACCGCACTCAGCCGATTCTATTTCTTAACTGCATTCTGAATTTCTCCTTAAAATATTTTGGTATTTATATTGTTGTTATATTGACATTTTTTTCTGGAGAAATAATAGCTATGGCTTTCTACTTTGTCGTCTTGATTACATTCCTTCACCTTCTCCCAAAGCAATAATTCTCATTTAAATGAACTCATTTCATGTATTTATACAAAAGGGAGTCAATAAGATTTCCTAATTTGGAGGTGTTTTCATGAACTTCAAACCATTTCCATCCTCTCTCTCCTCCTTTCTTTCTTGTTTGAATAGATTTTCACGCCCCTTTCTCCTTTATTTTCCCATCCTTAAGTTTTTTTATGTTCATCTTCTGAACTTTCTTGACAATGCATCACAGTCAAAAGACTTTGGTACTCAGTTTATCCTGAAATTTAAACAATGGAATCCCAAAGGTCTGACTTTGTAGACTTCCAATTGCATGAATGACAGTAAAGATAAATTATAGGAACTAATAAGAAGGTATGTTGGCATTCTGAATGACTTGGTTTTTCATGTTTAGACTCATTTATTGCTTTATTTATTTGAACATTAGATATGGAAAAAAGGTTGAATTCTGCATTACGACTAGCAAAGCTGAACAACTTTAAAAAGTGCCACCAAGACATTTCACTAAATTTTGGCACACAATCTAGTAACATATGTAGGCATACATATGTTCCTAGATTGTAAGGTATGTTCAATAATTAAAAGTACGTATCTTGAAGGCTTATCTGCTTCCCACACTTTAAAAATAATACATAAAAAATAAAAAATAAACATAAAATGCTGAGTGTTATAACAAATGAAAACACTGAGATGAGATTTTTAGATCCATGTAACCAACAAGTTAACATTATACTGCCACTTCTACAGCTAAATTAACATGTAATTATTCTAACATTTAATGGTCAAAGGACAGATAAATATACAGCATGCTGGAATGTTAAAAAATAATTGGACAAGGGATTAGGAGACCTAGGATCTAGTACCATTTTTGTTACATCTACCCTTCTGTTCATAAGCAAGCTAATTACATATCTCTTTGTTTGTGGGGTTTACACTTAAGCATCCACAGATTTTAGATTTCCAATTATCACTAGACTTCTAGGGCTACCCAAGCTGTTAATGTTGGACTATTGCACAAATGCTTCCTAACATATATTGATTACATGTACTCCAAGAATAGGAACTGATATTTCCTGATACCTCAAAGAGCGAAATGTGTCCCCTAAAGTATCATTTACCTTAGTGATTTTATTGTGTAGAATGTTATCTAAAGAATAATGATCATGATGCATCCTTATTTCTTTTATTAACCCAAATGATACGGTCATCGTAAAAGCTAAGACAGGGAACTTGTAGGATGGTAGAGATATTTATTTAATGTCCTCAAGTTTCTTTTTGTCACATAAAATAAAATCAAATTTTCCATGGAAATAATGGGTTTGAAAATTTGTGACATGACCTGACAAACTATCTCTTATAAGACAGTATCTCGGAAAAATGGTTCTTAGTTCTAAACAATAAACAATTTAATTTTGGTGCATACCTAATTTCTACATTGAAAGTTGTATACAATTTCTGCAAGCACCGCTCTACAGCTTTAACTCTACTTGAATTCTCTTATCATAAGTGCTACCCTTTATTTGAATTTAGAAAATTAAATGAAAATAACTCCAGATAGCAAGGATAAATTGTTACTAATATATTTTCTTGTAAAATGTAAATTTTAAAGAAGTAATTGAAAAACAAGTAGGTTTATATAAATACACAAAAGTTAGTTCATATTAGCTTAGGTGCTACACAAATTTTGTTGTAAAAGGAAAATATATATTTTTAGAGGAATGATACAGCAATACTTCTTTAACCAAGGGGTTAAACTGAGCATCACTGATAACTGGACAACTTGACATTAGGTGTTTCTTGATATGATGCAACAGGTAAGGAGAAGTTCTTGTTTAAAAGAAATATTTATAGTGAACAAAATCAAGCCTTTAGAGTTATCTCCAAGTATAAAGAAAATACAGAGATAAGAGAAATGAGTCAAATATTACCATCAGGAAACAATCAGACAAGCTCAGAATGTGAAACAATCTAAAAGACAACTGGCCCTGTGTTTTAAAAGAGTCAATGTTGTCACAAAGAAAAGAATATTTGGCTGGGAAGTATGGAGAGAGGAGGTGCTTTTTAAAAGAAAAAGACAGTTAAAAGACACAAGCAATGTAATTTTTATATATTGATAGAATGATAATTCATACAAGTAGCTATAATACATTTTGGACATAATTAAGAAAATTTAAATATGAGCTAAACATTAGATGGCAGTATAAAATAATTATGAAATTTTTTATCTAGAATAATGGTGATGTTATGCAGGAGGATGTCCTTATACTCAGGAGATGCAAGATGAAATATTTTAGAGTGAAATCTATAAGCTACTTTGAAACGGTACAAACATAGACACAAATAAGCATACACACCAAAATACCAAAGACAACTGAAGCAAATCTGGAAAAGTGTTAACAATTATTACGTCTACGTTGTGAGTATATTGGCCTTCATTGTACGGTTGTTCTTTGAACTTTTCCAAAACTTAAAAAAATTTAGTAATAAAAAGTTGGAAAAGTTGCACAAAAACTTGAATATATTTAATGTCACTGAACTGTATACCTAGAATGGTTAAATTGTTTAATTTTATGTTGTGTATTTTTGACCACAAATTTTAAAAAGTTGGAAAAAAATCTTATGTAAAGAGTAATCCTGCCTTAACCACAGTCAGTGTCAATAAACTAGAGGTTTTGTGAGATCTCTAATTATTCACTTAAGGTTTACCCAGAAACACAATCTTTAAGGAAGCACATTCTAGACAACTAAAGAAACTACCAAATGATTGCTCTGGGATTCTGACTTTTTCTCTTAAAGCAATGGACCAAACTGCACCTGAATACATTTCTATCATTAGATAACACAGACAGCTATTTTGGTAAGGATTCAGTAGGAACTGTTAGTCCTAGTTAATGGGTTATTTGCATAGTATATGGCTTTTGGGATCTCTCTTCTCCATTTCTGAATTTTCCATGAGAGACAGTACTTACTATTTAGCTTGGAATAAAGAGAAGCTAAAATTAGTTAAGTGTTGGAAAATTAAATTTATCTGTAAAATAATTCCAAGTAGATGTTACAAAAATTTTGTGAACCACAGTTCAGAGGATATGAATAGATTCTAAAAGTATCCTGGGACATAACTGAGGTTCAACAAGTCAGGGCCAATGTTTCCCTAAAGACTTTTAGGCTGAAACCACAATTGCAGGTCACTTTTAATTCTGTTCAGAGCTCTTCCACATACAAAGCTGTGGGGACGCTGTAATTCTTACTCACAGTGACTGAAAATGAAAGCCTGGTTAAGTACAAAGCGCTGTTTTTTGCCAAGCTCAATGAAAGAAGGAAGTGGCAAGGGTGGGTACAGGATGGCCAAAATTTCCTAGTCTTAACTGTGGATAGCAGGATTGCTTAAAGTTCTGAAAAACAATCCCGAATTAGATCTTGTCAAGTTAGACATGCTTCTGCCAAAAAATATATGACTTGACAAAGATTGGGATATGGATATGGAGTCAAAAGTGACATCTTTACATGTCAAAGTCTTAAACAGAATAATGTACTGAATAAAAAAATATGGCAGTTGATCTCTGTTTGGTCCTGGATTTCTGATTGTACATGTGTGTGTATCTGTATATAAACTTGGTTAAGCCGCCTGACACTTTTATGATACAAGTTCTTTAAGTGCTAAAATGTGGAAAAGGTCTTGTATTAGTCAATTATCAAATTGATATAAGGAAACACCCAAGACTGGAACATTTATAAAGAAAAGAGTTTTAATTGATTCACAGTTCCGCATGGCTGGGGAGGCCTCAGG